GGGAGTCTTTCTTTGTATTGCTGAAGTTGGCCAGCCAGTCCATCCACTATTTGTTCTTCTCCGTCTTTCCCCGCCGTTGGTACTGGTGAGCTGGCATTTGGTGATGGTGCATTCCGCGCCGCTTTTTGCCACATGGATTGTGTGCAGTTGATGCTATCTGGATTTTGTGGTTGCTGTTCAGGCTAATATTATGCACTGCCTCCAGCGCTGCTGGAGATATCGGATCCCTCTTTGCATGCTGTTTCTCTTGCCTGGCTGACATGTAACATCTTTCAGATGTGGAAGGAGTACTGGAATTTCCAGTAGCTCATTTGTAACATTTTTCTTTTACTGTTAATTTGTAAGAGGAATTTGATCACTACTGTGCTTGGATACTAAAGCTTACCTGTACCTAACATGTCATGTACTTGGAAGAAAAAAAGAAATCAGCAACACAAAAAAAAACCTACATGGGGTAACAAGGCAGTGCAGCAAAGTCATTTTGAAAATAGAATAGTTGATACCACTAGTGAGTCACAGTGCAATCAATGGTTTAATCAAACAACAACATTATATAGATTATTTAGACAACATAAATACTCCGTACATTCACTACAACATTAATAGGAAAATAAAAGCTTCACATTCTCCCATACAATCTAAAGAACTGGGCACAAAGTGACAGATTGTTCCTAAACAGACTGCTCAGCTTCAGTGACAGCTCTCCTGCTCAAGAGACTGATGTTACTTTTGCTGTTGCCCTTGGAAGGTGTGCTGCAACTCATCTAGAACTTTCTATGTAAATTTTAAAGCAATTCGAATGACAACACACCGAGCCCCTCTGGTTTCTAGTCAGCAGACATGCACTAATTCTCTGTATGATCCAACACTTCAACAGAAGGTAATGATTAATTAAATTTATCCCCCAGCCTTCTGGGGCCTGAATACTTCCATTCTACAGTCATGAAGAAACATGCCCTTCCAAGAGGCAACAATTACTCAAAGACGACTTGCGTAGCTTTCACGTGGGGATAAAGCTGATCTGAAGCAGCAGTCAGAACAAACACATATTTACAAATGTGAGTCTTGAAAGACTGAAGCAATACAAGGGTCCTTCCCGCCCAGGAGAGTCCCCAAGCAGCTGAATGCTAACGTACCACACTCCACATCTTCATTCTGACTGCAGGCAAGGGCACAGCAGCCATGCCAGACATGGTTGAGGATGTTGCTTCTCATTAATTTGATCAACTTTTTTGCTTCAAGCTTTAGGTGCAAATGTGTGGAGGCTTCCTCAGGAAGTCTTACAGTACAGTCAATCTCCCATAACACATTTCCAGTCAGACAGAATGCTAAAGGCAAAGCAACCCCCATTGACATGACCACAATGTCCAGTGCCAGGGAAGAGAAGTTTAACATGCACGTGAACAGCAGCTACTGGCCTTCACACAACAACCTACTGCCAAGTTTTAAAACTTGAACCTAAATTTAAGACACTAAATGGTAAACTTTGTCAAGTACTAAAATTTTCTTCCAAAGTGCTATGCCACATTTGTTAAAGCTATGCCAAAAAAAAAAAAAAGTAATCTTAGAGCAGCTTATGGTTGAAGTCCTTCCTACTCAAACTGAAGCTGAGATAAGCTCACAGCTGGGTAGCAAGAATTCTGTAAAGCAAAATATTTCACTTCATGTCATTCGCATTATGTCAGTGTGCTGGAATTTAAGGAATTTGCTTTCAAAAGACATTTAAGACGATTCTTTACAGCAAGTTCTGATACATTCTCAATGAAAAACTGTTATTATATTGAACAGAGTAGGGCTGCAAAACTTCCATAACATTTTGACTAAGTTTGTGAGGACAGGATTACCACTGCAACAGGAGTCAGATGGCAAACTGCAGTGTGAACCAAGATTGGAATTTCTACAGAGAGAAGGGTTTGGGGTTTAGTTGGCTTTGTTTTGACTGTTAAAAGGCAAACCAACCTCAGGAATCACCTTGCACTGAAGCTCAGTAAGTAGCAAGGTTTTTAAAGTGTCCATTTTCTCATTATAGCTGTATTTGTTTTTTGTTTTTTTGTTTTTTTAAAGACTGAATAATTCATCTTTCCTAGGGAATGAGATCTCCTCTAGTTGCAAGACTATCAGAAATCAATTTTCTACCATCTTTTATATGGATAACCATTAGCAAATTACAACATTTAACACATTCCTTGGCATACATTACTATTGAATAGACTGACTTAGCCATCCAATGCTCAGTACTTCACAGAGGCTACTATAACTGTGTCAAATGTATTAGAAATCCAGATTTACCTGGATAAAATTAAGACATTCCAAACTGGAACACTCATTCAGTTATCACACACTGGGAACAAAAGCATGTCAAGCACTAGAGAAAAACAACCAAAAAAAGTCTAAATTAAATACAGTCAAGAATACTGTCTAATCATATTAATAAGTATACTGAGAGAGCCCGAAGGCATCACATATGTATTGCCCATACAGATAATGACGGTGCTTTCTTTTAATATTAAAGAAGTCAGAGCTATAAAAAGAGAGTTAGTCCCATCTCAGTTTTCCAACACAGCTTATTTATGTTCCTTCGTTGGTGCATAGTACAGTTCCATAGGTTTGTTCACTTTCCAGTATTTCTCACTGACCAGCTCCAAGGAGAATGACCCATTTAATACCTAGAAGAAAACATCAGAACAGATGTGAGAAGACCTGATAGTGTGCACAGGCAGCAATCTATCCACAACTACTGACTTAAAGAAGTCACTGATTATGTGGAACAAGTTACTGACTAAACACTCACGGTCAAAAAGCAGTAAAATGAGCTATTTCAGAATCCTGTCAATCTCACTAAAACAGCACGAAAAACAGCTTTGCTAATTGCACACAAACTGCATACAGTTGTAAATAAAGTGAACTTTATGTTTCCTCTGTATGTAAACAGAGAGAGTAACAGGTGTATTGACACCAGAATAATCTTTGCTTTTTTTCTAAAGGCTACTCTATCATCATGTTTGAACACTGTGCAAAACAGACTGTCACGTACGTAACACTGGTATCTCTCTTAACCAGAAGTTTTATTTTATTCAGAAAAAATGCCCAAGTATAAAGCTAAGCTCAGAGGTTAATCCAAGTGCAATACCACCTTCTCGTTTAGTCAGCAACTGAGAGGAGGGATTCTTCCCTATCTAAAGCTCACAGTAGACTTTTTACACTGGAGTAAAAGATTATACTGCAGTAGAGTCCACTCAATAGACATCTCCTGCTTCTAGGCAGTGCTCTTCAAAGAGGGTTCTCAGGTGAAGTAGTGCTTTTTCCTCTCCAATTTTAATTGTAAAATGAAAGGTCAGGTCCTCACCTGAAGGAAGTCAGCTAATAGTTGCTGGCATCAGTAATTTGTATGCCTTCTTTTTCTATTAATCAAGCTTCCACTACATGCATTTTTCTACAAAACAAACTATCTGCTTCTGAATGAGCAATCTGGTGCCATGAATTTTATTCCTATGTCAACTCAAGAGAAGTCCAACTGCATGGATTCTAATTATATCTGTATCAGAGGCATACTGATGCTCAGTTTTCCTCTTAAAGCTTCCACTTACAGTGAACTGCCCATTGGCAGTAGCTATGTAAATAGTATACTGCTTCTCACTGGCCGTGTCAAGATTCATCTGGTTTGATTCTCCTTTGCTCCGAAGCTCTTCCAGAGCCAATCTCACAGCTAGGTACTTGGACAAGTGATCAACAGTAGCATTGCCTGAGGTCTTGATGTATCTGCAACAGCAACCACAAAGATAATCAGGTGTTCATATTAGAGATATAGGACAAAGACACCTGGAACTCTCCCAGACATTAAGCATCACATGTGAAAAGGCCTGTAAAGACAGTTCACAAATAAGAGTACCGATTGCTTTTGCCCTAGACACGCACACAGCTTAACAAATTACACTGTTCCAAAGAGTTCTTGCATCTTTTTCACTCTCCTACCTCAGGCCCTCCTGCTCTTAGTAGTGTGAAGACAGTGCTACCTGGTCATGTGCTTGAAATGAAAAACCTGCTAATAGACTGTCAAGCAGTTTGAGCAACCACTCACACTGGCTGAAATCTTCTGAGCCTGGATGCAGCCTGAAGCCCTGGGACAGAAATCTGCAAGGTGTGAAGGTGTGAGAGCGATGCATGCACCGCCCTCTGCTCCTTGTAAAGGTACTCTTCTTTACTGCCTCATTACCTGCTCTTCTTTATGCAAAAATTCCAACCTGACACAAATGCTGCAGGAGCCTGCCCCAGAAGCTTTGCTTTCTCTTTGTCTTTCAGAATAACTCCCAGAACTCCCTTGGAATTCCAAACCAAAAAGAAGAGTTGGATGAAGCTTATATTTAGTAATATATTTACTGACACTACAGAGAAATGTCTCATCAGAAGAGAAAGCCAGGAAGAGATCTGAGGAAACTTCACAAGATTGCTCATTGCTGCAATCCAAAATTCACAGTCTGTGCTCACAATGGATGATGGAAAAATGCCAGGCAAAGCTTGCAGCCTACAAATCATACTGACACAAGGCTGCTCCAAAAAATCACTGACACTCACACAAGACTTGTTTATTCGCAGAGAATCTTATTATAAGTAGATGTTATACCATCATTCTGGTATCTTCTGTGAACTGCAAGAAACTCTTAAAACCATCTTCATCCCTGACCAAAGGCCTAAAACAGTTTGTTACTGTAACACTGTACAGAAACAAGTTGAGCAGTAGCATCTATCTGACCTGCAATAAGAAGGATGGTATGTTCAAACCAAGGTGGTTCAACCAAAGCAAACTGATTTTTAAAAGCCAGCCCCAAGAAGTTATAAATAGAAAATAGAAACAGCAGGAATTAAAACAGAATATACAAAGAAGAATAAAGCCATTTACCTCGTCTGTGCACTGTCGTCATTCTCCATGAGGGTAGGATGAGGCCTGAAGACTAATTCTATTTCACTGGCACCATCCAGTACGGGGTCTATGGCCACAGCCGTGTTGTTATTGTCCAGTTCTAGCCCAGAATCATCTGATGTTTTGGTCCTCTTGTTACTAGGCCCTGCTTCCTGATTGCTGTGTGTTGAGGCATTGCTACAGTGTGAACTGTCACCATTATCTTCTGCTCCACTGCCATTCTCAATCTGTTGTTTCTTGCCCCTCTGTAACCTGGTGACAAATAGGTAGAAATAAACACTAAACCTCACTCAGAACTCATCCAACCTGTACAACATCTCTCCTCTCAGTCAAGCCAGAAGCCTGACATAACATGAACCATGCATTCACAAACATGAAACATTCCAGAGATACTTAGACTTAAAAAATAACACACATCCTATCTTACAAAAAGATACCCATATACAAAACTGCATATTTTTCCTTATTCCTCAAATGCATTTTAGGCATGTTGTAAGATCATCTTAAACTTCATTCAGTTAATTGTACCCCTTACACAAAACAGAAAAGTATTTTAATCAAAATATGAATTCATTTGTGATTTAGAACAAGCACATTTTATCAGAACAAAGTTTGGGGTCTCCTTCCCAACTCCTCCCTGCAGCCTTCTCCTCCCCAGTCTCAACAAGCTTTTCTTCACAGAGAGGTGCTCCAGCCCACTGAGCATCTTTGTGGCCCTCCAACAGCTTCACATCTTTCTTGTGCTGGGAGCCCCTGGCAGTACTCCAGATGGGGTCTAATGAATGATCCTGTAAATTGGTAACACAGCAAGTGTCTGCCAGTAAAGCTGCAAGGAGTGACACGAAGTTTCCTATTTACTAATAAAACAATGAAACTATTAACATTTTTTAAACAAAAATTGAAAGCTACTTTGGAAGCCTTCAGAGAAGGAGAGAAGAATCCCTTGCTATAGAGAGAGTGAGGAGGTGGCATATTCCTAGCATTAAGGGAGACAGTGTGAACAAATTAAGTGACTACGTACCTGTTCATAGCCTGAATCTTTAGTCCTTCTTCAATGCTGTGACTTAAAGCTTGCTGGTTATTGTGTTTACTGATTCTTGCTAGCACTCTCTCCTGATGTGCTTCATATTCATCACGGCTTGGATAAATTTTACTGATGAGAGCATCAAAATTGGGATCAGGTCGCAGCGATCTTTTTGACACCAGCTTTTTACGACACGTGGGACATTCTTTGTTGCTAGATATGAATAAGGAGAGGGAACAATATTAAGTCTCTGGCAGTGACAGAAGTCAGTCTTAACGCTGCAATTCTTAGAGAAAGCACCCATCATGACTCAGCTTTACAATAAATCTGGAATGGGATGGGGCTTCTATCTTTTGACAAATCAGATAGCTCAAGATACTTAAACAAAACATTAAAAAAAAAAAAAGGAAAAAAGCCAAACATCTCCTTGCTATAGTTTTTAAAGTATATTTATTTAAGGTATGTTTTTTGGCTGAAGAATCAAGGAGTTCTATACTACAATTTTTTCCCCTTAATCTTCTGGCTTTATTTTTACTTAGAAATGTTTCTATTTCTAATGGAAATTATATTGAAAGGTATAGTCCTTCATAGGACCTGCAGAACAAAACAAAGATAAAGGAACCCATTTTGGAGTTCAAGCACTAATTTCTGTGAAAACTAAAACTCAGTCTTGCCCTTCCCAACATTCTGTTCTAAATTAATTAATTTATTAGGTTCACATGTTTTTTGTTTTTCTTGTAAAAGGAAGAGGCCTCAGTAACAAAAATATCAGTGATTTCTTTACTGAGGACAGTTTTTCTTGTTTCTCTTTAATGAGAAAAGTCTTTCTGGTAATTACTCAACAGAATTTCCATAGGCACAGTGAATTCAGTGTGAACACTGCAGTGATGGCCATCCTCAGAAACAGCAGAGCCCAGGGCTTAAAGGATCACATTTTCATCAGAAGGGAAATCCCTTTTCCCTGTCCTGCTATTTCCATACCCGCTCCTGAGGGCTGTAATGATACAGTCAGCACAGAAACGATGCAAACACTCTTTTGTCGTCATGGTATTTTTTAACATATCCAAACAAATGGGACACATGAGTTCGCTGTGCAGGCTCCTGGGTGACACCACGATTTCCAAGCCATCGGTGATCGCTTCCTGGTGTAAAACAAAGTAAAAGTTCTTTAAGGAAATTTCACACAGAGACTGCATGTGTTATTACCTTTAGACAAAGACATAAGAATACAGCAAGGAATGTATTCAGCCACATCAGGAAAGGAAAACCATAGACCTCAAGTTCCTAAAGGTATCAAATAAAGACCAAACTCTGCCCGAAGGCCAGTTCTTCAGCACACGTTACCTGAGGTGTTCTTTGCAACTCGTACAAGCTGAGCTCCCAGGTCTTGCTTAAAGGCTGCGTCCCATTGGTCTGCACAGCTTGAGACATGGCTGGAAGCAGAAGAGAACAAAATGGTATGGTCAGGTACACCTGGCTCCAGAACCTGCTCCCCTCTCCCAACCAGGCCTTCCTCCAAGTGATTTGTTCCCCAGGGCTCCAGCCCCTGCAGCCTTAGTGCCCACAGTACAGAAACGCAGCAAGAAACCACTGAGTCACTGCAATTCCCTGTCACTGCCCCACTCTAGAGACAGTGAGGGAACTCCCCAGCTATGAGTATTTTGCAAAACTCCATTCAGGCTGTTAAGCAGAGGTGAGATAGAAATGAAAGGCCCAGAGCGTGGGCTTGGCACAGGGGTGGCACCAGCAGCCTGCACAGCATACATTCTCACATATATGCACTCCAGTCAAATAAGTTTCTCTTACTGTCTTTTTATTTAAAGCTAGGCTTGTATTTCCAAACCCTTAGAATCCACATGTGGCTGCTGATTTGATTTGCATCTAGCAGGCATGTTATAATCTAGTTTCAAATTCATCAAGTTCTACAGGAAAAGAGTCAACCTCTCTTACTTTCTAAGCTTTAATTAAGAGCAAGTAAAGCAGCTCCGCAAAGATTATTGTATCTGTTCTTCTCCAAGCTCACAAATTAGTTTTCTCACCTTACAGAAAAAAAGACCCAAACCAGAAATAAAGCCTGACATAAAGTAGGCATGATCATTGCTTTGTAAAGAGATGTGCTGGGGCACACCAGAAAAGCTTGCTTCAAACATCACACAGCTCCACAGCAGCAAAGAACTCCTTGCAGTGGCCCACAGCAGAGATCACCACATGCACAAGCACATCCTGTCCAAACCCAAGCACTCATGCTTGTTAGCATGATGGCTGTTCCAGCACCAGGTTGCCAGCCAAAATACCAGCCTGGAGAACAAGCACGTTAACATTACTGCAACATACAGGAGCCATGCTGCAGGAGACACAGTACAAGTGTCATGATATATAATCAATAGGCTTTATTCTAAAAGCTTCTCATCTCAGATGCAGTGTGCTTAATTCTCATCCTAAAGCATGCAGCACTTTGGGATTGCAAGAGGAATAATACTGGCCTTAAAGCTAGCTGAAAGCAGAGAGATCCATATGGCCCTCTTGGACACTACTGAACACTTCCTCTGCCTGTGGAACACAGAGTCGAGATCAGAACACAGTGGAAACAGGGTTAATTCACAGAGGCTGAAAAGCGAAGTAAGAAGAACCTCATCATATCTCATGAATAAGAAGAGACTTGGTAGCAGTCTTCCTGCTCCCATACTTCTTATAATCTGTTTCCAAATCCATACTGGCCCTGACAAATGCACCTGAATGAGGTTTGACTTCTTTCCCCGATGACACTGTTGAACATCAGTTTGGAACACACTGCTTCTCACTGCCACAATCTCACTGCAGCAGCACCAACAGCTGGCACCTATGTAAAGGATCAAGCTTCACCAACTCCACATTCTGACCTAAAATTGCCTTGATCACGCAAGCACAACCTGGCAGGCTCAGAACCACAGCCACCAAGCTCTCCTTTAGATCTGCTCATGACTGGCCGATCTCTGAGCACTGACCATAGAAGGGAGGGATGCCATCCAAAGGAACCTGGACAGGCTTAAAAAGTGGGCCCACAGGAACCAAATGAGGTTCAACGTGGCCAAGTGCAAGGTGCTGCACTTGGGTCAGGGCAATCCCGGATACGTGTACAAACTGGCAGAAGAATTCTTTTAGAGAAGTCCTGCACAGAAGGATTTGGGGCTCCTGGTGGACGTAAAGCTGGACATGAGCCAGCGGTGTTCATTTGCAGCCAGGATGGCCAATTGCTTCCTGGGCTGGATCAACAGAGCAGTGGCTGGAGGTAAGGAGGAGACTGTTCTCTTCTGCTCTGCCCTTGTGACACCCCATCTGCACTACTGTGTCCAAGCCTGTGGCCCCCAGCACAAGAAGGATGCAGAATTGTTGAGTGGGTCCAGAGGAGGACCATGAAGAGATCAAAGGGCTGGAGCACCTCTCCTATGGAGAAGGTTTGAAGGAGCTGGACTTGTTTAGCTTGGAGCATTGTGGCCTTCCAGCACTTGAAGGGAGCTTATAAGCAGGAGGGAGGAGCAGCTTTTTACATGGCCTAATAGTGACAGGACAAGAGGGAATGGCTTTAAACTAAAAGAGGGAAGATTCAGGTTAGGTATTAGGAAAAAAAATCTTTACTCAGAGGTGAGGTGCTGGCACAGGCTGCCCAGAGAGGCTGTGGATGCCCCGTGCCTGGAGGCATTCAAGGCCAGGCAGCATGGGGCCCTGGGCAGTCTGCTCTTGTTACTGGCAACTCTGCCCAAGGAAGGGGGTTGGATCTCAATGATCTTTAAGGTCCCTTCCAACTCAAGCCATTCTATGAGCCCCTCCACTCTATTTAGAACAAGGGCAGAAATTCCTCTCTGCCAGCTGACCCCCAACACAGCAGTACCATTCATATTTTTGTCTAAGTGAAAAATGAGCCCCAGAACACCATACAAACATTTTCCAAGAATACACTGTCTCTCCCCTTCACGTACATTTCAAGCGGCCAATAGCATCCAAGAGTGCATTGGGTTTTGAGCAGAGCAGCCCTCTCCTTCAGAGCTTACACTGACAGAATTTCAGACTTGTAACTCTTAGAACAGAAATGTAGATGCTGATGGATTGGCAGTCAAACTGCAAATTCATGATGAAAATTTGAGAAGATATAAAGGCACCTACAGAATGCAAAAGGAATGTTATCAGGTGAATCGATTCAGCTGCTCTCACAGAACACCGGAAAGATACACTCATAAGCTAATTTCAGAGCTGTCACCAGACAATGATCAATTAATATGCCACAGTAACATAAGTGAGCTCCTTTGTAGATGCCTACAACAAGCAAAAAATGAGTTTTGCAGCACTTAGGCAAAGCTGGAGTTTAAAATACTTTTGTACACTGACTAGAATTCTATCACCTTCAAAGCATAAGTCAGAGTCAACTAAAAGCCTATTAAAGATGCCAAACTAACACAAACCATGAAACAACTACATGCTTTAAAAGTCATATCTGATAAGAATCAACAAGTACTTGCACTATGCTTTTCACCCTTATATGTCAGCCTGCAAACAAGCATGTCTTTGCACTTTGCTTGTGGGGAAGAACCTATGAATTAGAACAATAAAGGCTACACCTTGTTGTTACATACTCCATGAAAGAGACAAAAGCAGCACACGAGTAACTCCTTGGGCAACAGCGCTGCTGGCAAATGAGAAATCCATCATTTTCTGATGGACATTTTTGTCACAGCACCATCCCTGGATCCCACGTTGGACTTTGGAAATGCATCTCCACAGCCACCTGCACCACCACAACCCCATCGAGCACCTCCATGCTTCCACCTCTCCTCAAACCTTCCTGCAGTAGCAAAGATGGTGTCAGCCCAGAAGGAAACCTTGCCCACCATGGGTTCCACTGCTGCCATTATGCTCTTCCCAGACAACTGAATAATGGTGCAGCCACTACGACAACCAACATAATCCCATCTTAACAATGCTTCCCTGCCATCCAGCTTTCTTAGTTTACTCACAGAAGTAAATAAAGAGATGAAAGCATTTAAGTGCTTTCAAGTACATTTACAATACCAGCCTGTCCTGTATGAAAATATTACAGATTTTATTTGTAGTACAGTGAATACGCATTCTAAGAAGTCAGAAGCATGCATTTCTACAGTTTGCTTGAAATCACAGGGTCTTTAAGACATCTTATGGGGTTCTCTCATTTGCTCCTCAGTTGCTCAAAATGTGGATGCCACAGGAAAGGCCACCCTAGGAAGGTTCAGATGTGTTCCTTCTGTTCCGTTACCTTCAATAATGAAGTTTGAATCAGGAACAGATTAGATCACATGAGGTGCTCTTTGAACACACTCAGCATTGGAAGTACATAAAGATTAGGGAAGCTACAGTTATTCCCAAAGCAAGAATTACAAAGCCCTACCTTTTTAGGCAGTCCAAAGAAAAATCCAAAGCTGTCAGCCTGCAGGGAGCAGCTAGCAGGCACACCACCTCATTTCTGCCCTACAGAACTGCCAGTCAAGAGAAAGAAGTAAGTCATAATTAATTCAAGACAATGGACTCAAAGACATCCCAAAGTAGCCACAAAGCCAAGAAAGGCAGAGAAATCCAAGGCACAGCACTACAGAAAGTTTCCAAGTCTGACTGTGCCCCGCAATAACACCACTTAGTTTTTAGTTTTCTCAGTAACAAGTTCCAAATCCCCATTTTCCCATCACCTATCCTATAAACTCAACAGCCTTTTCTCATCAACATAAGATAATCCTACTAGCAATAACTGACACAGTGTCATTAAGAAACCCACAGCAGGCTCCCTGTCAGACAACATCTGAGAAATACCAGCATTTCTGAAATGCACAGCTTGCTAGCAGAGGGCATTTCACAGCTTCTTCGTCCTATTTATTCTCCTGAAGAAGAAAGTGAGTTGCCTGGTGCCTTAAGACATGGTATCTTCCAGTTAGTTGCCATTCACCATTTACCGGCACTGAAATGAACTGATCCACAGAGCACAGCAGCATCTCCAATCTGGCTGTCAAGCTGCTCATTCTGGCCTAAGGAAACATTTGTGCTATGACCCCATATAAACTAGCTGCTATCTACTTTTACACCTAAGGAACAATCCAGTGAAGCTCGTGCTAGTAGAAGTGACCAAAAAAGAGACAATCTTCCCATGCTAGATGCCAGAGCATAAAAAATAAAAAATAAATAATTAAAAAGCAACAAATGAAAAATTTTGGTCATTGTCACAGCTGTTTTGTCACAGTCTGAAGAACAATCACAGGCTGGATATGACAGAAGTATATGATTTAAAGTCAGTGTTTCTCAGTGTATTTACAGCAAGAGAGCAAAACAAAGCATAAGCACTGCATGTCTGTGTACATTGCTCTTACACAGATGACACTCCAATTCCAGTCTATTCTGATGTACTCTGTATTCCTTGCCAGAGGCATCAGTTGCCATTTCATGCTGCCTCATGGATCACCTTGTTATTGTCCATAGCCTCAATCCTTAGTGTGAATATTATTTACATCTGTTCTACACCTTCTTGAACATGTGCTGAGGTATAAACACTGCAGTACACAAGGTGACCATTTCCAGAGAGCTCTCTGCACCTTATCAGTTGCCCCCAGATAGTGCAGAACTCACTGGGACACCTATCTCTCTCTGGCTGCACTACAAATGCTTAAATTCATCATATTGCAAACCCAAGCTATTTATTAACTAAAAAGCTTGAGTCTTCTCTATTTTGGAGGGATTAAGTAAAAATTAATGTGGTACAAAATAATAATAATAATAAAAGTCTACCCCGCCCAATGTCTTAATGCAACAGGTAATAAGATTATTCAGACCATTACAGCTGAAACAAACTGATACTTACCCTTTACACACCATTTATATCTTGTCCAATGTGAGCAACAAAATACCATCTAACACAAGTGCCTTCAGCAAGGATGGAAAAATGGAGCTGTGTTCCTTTCACTGCTGATGTGAGCCAATAAATCGGACAGGCACTTGACCTCAAAGACATCAAGCGTGCCAAAAACCTTTACCAACAATTGATATAAGAAGAAAAACAGTCATTACCAAGGTGTAATTTAGCACCTCATTATTTCCACACTGATAAGAACGTGTATTTTTAATGCACGTGTATTTTTAATGTATTTTTAATGCAACCACAGTGCAGTGGCCCTCAGAGTCTGCAGCAGAAGACAGCCTTTACATGCATGCAATTCTATCAAAACAGCACACATCCTGCTATGGTGGATGTACTCCTGGCCACAGAACTCTGCTTCATAGCTTTCATTTTACGGTGCTTTCTAACCCTTGCAGCACTGCTGGCACATTTTATGAGTTTAACCAATTTCTTGCTCACTCCCTTGAAATAACAGCCGCAGAAAGGGAGAACTGGCCACCCCATATGCTAAGGGTTAAGCTCAACAATTTCAATAGCCCTGTTGTTTGCCCCTTACTTTGCTGTACGTTTTAATAGAAATCCCATGAACATGCTAACACCACAGTTCAAACAAACTTTCCCATCTCCACAAGCAAGGTCTCCAGAAAACCACTCAGCTGTTTTCTACTGAGCAAGCAAACCAAGTTTTGGTGATGCTAACAAACACGGATTGAATTTCACTTTGCAGTGCAGGCCCCCAGACTACACCTCCTGCCTGAGGGAAGCATGGGCAGAGCTTCCAGACTCCTTCCTCACCATCAGAATGCTGTTTGGTGCCCTCAGCATCCAGACCTGGACTCTGCACTACTGTGAACACGAGCAAAGCCTTCAAAGGACAACAAGAAGAAGTAGTGTGATATATTACTTCCACATTTCATTTGTTAGAGAATTCACCCATTCACCACAGTGGCTGCCCTGGCTATTGCAGGAGCCAAGGCAGAAGGCTCACACCAGCAAAGTGCTCACACCTGGAAATGACTACACCAGAGTCTGACTGCAGTGATTTGGAAGCCAGGTCCTCTCCCACTTCCACTAAGAAACCAATGCAATTTGATTTCTTCCCTATTTGCAATTTCAACAACAGAAAACACAGACACCCGTTCAACCACTCCTTTAGCAGGCCGTTCTGCCCCAGGGCACAGGTCCACGCTGCTGCAAGTAACTCTGCACAGGCTCGAGACAAACATGCCATAAATGAGACATGCTGGCACAGGCTCGAGACAAACATGCCATAAATGAGACATGCTGCTTTCCCTGAGCCTCTGGGACCACACAGAGTCAGCCACCTGGTATCCTTCTCTTTGGCATACAACATACCTACTATCCATCACATTACATTAATAAAATGGCAGAAAGTCACAGATTTCTGATGAGTTCACGTTGTGGGAGAAATTTTGAGAATATCAGGTCAAGGAATACGCTTGTTTTTCAGTTCTTCCAGGGATATGTTTGTTAGCCACAAGGAACTGCTCACCCATTTAGCAGTCAGGGAAGCTAATCACAACTAATAGCGACCTAATTTCCTGGGTAACAACAAAAGATGGCTTCTTCTACTTGGTTGTTAATAAACAGAAAATAAACCCCCTACAACCTTTGAGAGACAAAAAAGAGTCCAGCAATCCCACACATGATTGACCTACAATAGATGCACAGAAACCACATTGTAACACTGGCATGCAGCTTTCCTCAGAAGCTGGGTGACAGCTAACAAGTTATTTCTCTCTCAAATAAAGCTCTCTATTTTATAAACAGTAGTACAAGAGCAATACTTACACAATTTAAATCCAGTAAACATCCAAAATAGTTTACTTTTATACCTGTGCAGAGGTGGTGCAGAATAAGGAACAGATCAGATTTTCAGTTAGTTGGCAGAATGCTGCTGTCAGCTCCCTGCTGCCTGGGAGAGCTCTCCCTCTCACGAGAGGGGGAAGGCAGACAGTAATTCCTAAAATACTTCCCCGTCGCAACAAGTCTGAACAGCTCCACAATACTGAACTCTGCTCATTCCTCAGGAAATGAAGAATTTGAGGCCACTTATCTTCACCAACAAGGTTCAGCAATGTCCATTCTCCAACCTCTTTCTTTGTATCGTTGCTAAACTGCTGTTCTATCAGTAAAAATAGGTAAAGGGCATTTAAGTAACAATGAAAAAGCATGGGGGAAAGAAAGAGAAATGTTTAAGAGAAGCTGAAGAAATTTGTGCATCCCAAAAGCTACTTCATGTTTAAAACAGACAACTGTGCTACAGATACCCACCACACTCCTGTTTCATGACAAAAAAGACTCAAAAGCACCAGAACTCTGCACTGGTCACCAAAGATGCCCAAGCAAGTCCCACTGCTCCACGCATTGCCAGACATCCCCCTAGAACATACAGAGGTACTGATGAAGTAACTGCATAACTGCATCCTGCTGTTATGGAGGTGAGTGCAGAAAATGAGGCATTTCTTAACCATCACTCCCAGAGCCAATCACAGAATCATAGGATGGCCTGGGTTGAAAAGGACCTCAAAGATCATCCAGTTCCAACTCCCTGCAGGGTCACCAACCAGGGGACCAGGCTGCCCAGAGCCACATCCAGCCTGGCCTTGAATGCATCCATGGATGGGGCATCCACAGCCTCCTTGAGCAACCTGTTCCACTGCCTCACCACCCTCTTTGTGAAAACGACCTCTAAGGAAGCCCTGGGATTACTTGAGTCCCAGCAGTGAAGCCTGATGAAGACACAAAGCTTGGTACTGATAGTGCAGATACAGCCAACATTCGTGTGGTAATAATTCCTCCCACCTGGAAGGACTGACAGCGCTGATCCCTCACACGGCGTATTTCCAAATATATACATGTATATATACACACCAGATTCTGCTCAGTCCTGTCCTCAAACCAAACCTCTGCCACAGCTGACAAGCTCTGACATGGAAGAACGTCAAACCCTCTCGTTACAAAAGTTTCTTAACGAAGACACAGGTGAACACAAACGACAGCACCTCTTGAGGGCACCCGTACGACAAACCAATTCCTCAGCACTGACCGAACGGCACGTTTGATTAAACAGCTCCCCACACCAGCCGGTTTTTCCCTAAAAGCCCGCATGCAACACACAGCTACCACACAGATGGAGCCGCATTCCGATTTATCAGCGCGAAATGCTGCATTTCACCAGTCGAGCCGGTCACAACAGCTTACGGCCAACATCCCACACGCGGCTCAGCGCCCGTTTCACACACGGCGCGCTGCAGGGCAGCACCGGAGGGCCCGGGTTCTGCAGGTCCCGCAAGCGCAGGCTTCGCGGAGACAAAAGGGCGGCGGGCAGAGCCGCACGGCACGCACCGATAACGCGATAAGGGGCCGGGGCTGCCGGCTGCGGCTCTGCGTAACGTCGTGACACGGCCCGGGCGGCTCTCCTCTGCTCCGTCAGCGGGTGCCGGGGATCCGTCCCGGCAGCGCCGATCCCCGCCCTGCCGCCGCCCCGCGTCACCCGGGGCAAAGCGGAGGGGCCGAGCCCGAGCGGCCCCGAGCGCAGATCGCCGCAGGAGCCCTGCCTCAGCGCGGAGCCCGGCCCCGCGGCTGTGGGTTGAGGCAGCTCCCGGCCGCCCCCAGCAGCAGCGCCAGCCTTCTCCCCTCCCTCCGTCCTTCCCGCCCGCCGCCCCGCGCTCACCGCCGCTGACCTTCCGCCTCGAGCTGCCGCCGTTCGCTCCCACCGGCGGAGGAGCCGCAGCCCCGGCAGCACAATATGGCGAGCGGCAGCTCCGCAATGGAGCTCGGGAAATAGAGGGGAGTTACATATTCATGGCCGGGGCTGGGCAGGGGGAGCGCGGCCAGAGCTGCGGGCGCGGGGCCGCTCGTTGCTCTCCTCGCCCGGCGGGGAGCCGCTTTCCCCGCCTCCCTCCCCCCGCGCCGAGCCGTGCTGGGCGCCCACCGCCGCTCTCTGCGTGCCCGCCCAGCCTCGGGCTGCCGCCTGCCTGCCCTCCCGCCTGCCTGCCCTGTGAGGAGCGCGGGCGCGGCGGGTCCCTGCCCGCTGAGGGAACGCCCGCTGCCCCCGGTGGTCTTCAAACCTGAAAGTGCCCCTTCAGCGGCACCGGGTGCTTCAGACCCGCTGAGAGGCAGCGAGACGAAACGAGCGGCTGTCCCTGTGCTCTATACGTTGAGAAGACAGCTGTTGGCACCTCGGGGCGCGTTACCGTTAACTTTAGCACGGCTGGGATGCTAGCGGGTGGCTCTGGTTTGGCTTTTGTCGCTCCTTGCAACGCTTCTGTTACTTTTCAGAAGTTCTGGCACGTACCGGGATCCTCTTCGTAGTTCTACATCTCTGGTATCGCTCGTGCAACCGACCCACGCAGCACGATGTCGAAGATCCCCGCAGGAACGCGGTCAGGAGCCAGCAGTGCCATCGCTGTGCTCCCTGCAGGGCAGATCTCCACCCTGAACCTCAGACGGATTCAGCCAGGAGCTGGGTTCAGCGCTCCTCTGTGATGTTCCTAGCCCGCCTGCTTCCCAAGTGGGCTGGGTCGGGCTTTTTCACTGTTGGCATCCAACGATAGCATAGAAAGATTAAGAAAGAACTCCGGTTCTAGACAGAATGAAACAAAGCAGAATTAATGACTGAAATTTTCCTGCTTCCAGCTGTGCATCAGCAACGAAGAAGGGAAGGCTTCTGCCAAGCTGCCAGCAAAAATCCTGTGGGGAAAGTTGCCTCTCTGCGGGCCTACAGTTTGGGGGTGCAACCACAGTAAAGCTGTTGTGAGACAAAACAGCCCCGCAGATCGCAGGATGTAAAAATAAGATTTGCAAAATACAAGCATGGAGTTATAATGAAGGCAGATCTAATGAGGATGGAGTGGTGAGAGCTGCGTTGGGAGCATCTAGTGAAATGCAGAAGTACACAGCGCACGCAGACTAACAAATGAGTACACAGAAAGAAATTCAACACCATTGATGATGTTAGACCAGTGGTATCCAAGTCACCATATTCATGAGAATATTTATGTGATTTTGTTTTGTATTTATCATATTAACCATTCAAAGAGTCATAGGTTGTCCAGGGAGGATGTCCTGTCCTCAGCCTTGGAAGACAAGTCCTCAGACTTGAAGATTTCCAAGTCTCAGGTGGCTCAAGCCCTCAGCAACCTGGCCTGACCCCAGAGCTGAGCCTGGGAGGGCAGGGAGCTCCTGAGGTCCCCTTCAGCCCACATTATCCCATCATTCTGTGATTCTGAACTCACAGTGAAGATAAGAAAGCCTAGGATGTGGATAATATTGTATTTCAAGCCTTTGTGAGCATTTCCTTTCTTTGCAGAAAGCTTTTTCTGCAGAAGGTAGGAAAAAAAAAAATCCTGCTGCATGATAGCTGAGATAGCTTTCATCAGCTTGTGGCTTCCAGTGTTCCTTGTGTAATGGAAACTTTTATTCTGCTCCTTGTGGCAACAAAAGAGTTGTAAAGAAAATTACTCCGGTCAACTGAGACATGCTGTTTCCACGTCCTCCTTCCAGGTAAAATATTTATTACCTGCTGAAGTGATTGAAGGTCACCCATTCACTGCCTTTTAGAAACTAGTATAAATAGAGAAGAAAATGGAAAATAAAGTGCTCCCATTTTTCCAGTCTGTAGCCAGAGAACAGTAAATAACATAAAATGTGAAGGAAAGTAGAAAATGCCCATATTGCTAGGTAATGAGGGTAAAATAAGCTGTCAGTGGATTGGTAAGAGGAGGTAAGGTCATTGGCGGTGCCCCAGGTACACTGTTACACTTGTCTGCCCTGTATTGAGTGGTGTGACATTGCTGCAGCGTGCCTCTAACTGCCATGTACCCTTCACTGGATCGTGAAAGCATCACAAAGGTATGGTGAAGGCAGGGACTAAGCCCTTTCATTAAGTTCACTCTCATACAGATATCAAGCAGGGCTCTCTGGCTGTAGATAGGTTTATCATACTCAAAGTAATAGATGACTTAGGGCATAGCAAGGGTGAAGTTATATCACTTTATGCAACGTTCAAATGGACATCTTGAAGATAAGTGTAGGGAATTACTCTGCATACTCTTGTTAACAGTGTATAGTACGTTATGCTCAGCTGTTTTACACATCCAGAGACATAAGCTTATTATCTGTTCCAGTGATGTGCCACACGTTCTGGACTCTTGTTTGTGTATGCACTGAAAACAGTATGTGTCAGAAAAAAGTCAGCTCTTCTGTAATCTAGATCATGTTTGAAGACAGTGGCTTTATTTGAAACTTGCACACAAAAATAAGTGGGAAGGAGAAAACCATGGCTTATTAATTACTCAGAAAAGTAATGAGTATAAATGGGAGTTGTAGCAGAAACTATGTTACTTGAGGATCAAAATTCACAAATTAGGGATTCTATCTGCTTTATTCCTGCATTGCAGGATCTTTAGTTCTCACAGATCGTCAGGTGATCTCCAGTAATTCACTATTATAAAGCTCTTGCTTTCAAAAAAAAAGCCACTCAAGACCAGCGTGTAGCCAGCATTTGGGCACTTGAACCAAAGATAGCCCTGGATAAGCTAGGAATAGCAGAGTTGGGAGCAGGTAGTAACATGGTAAACATCCTGTTTACAAAGATCCTCTCAGTGTATCCCTTAAGTATGTTGATGTATCTGACACTAACATCTTATATCAACTCAGGACTACAATGTATTTCATAAGCAGCGTGCAGAATGGAAACAGACTTTGAGCATCGGAGTCTTTCACCAGCTTTGATGGTGAGTATCAGGCCATGTTCTCTAACACCTTCTGTAATAAGACAAAGGTGAGAGAGGATGTTGGAAAAAATATTTCAATTCTGAACAGGCACTGTAGTCTAATAGCTTTTGTAGTTGAATGGATGTAAACCATCCCAGTGTAAGTACAAAAACAAACAGAAAAAACCCCTACAATCGTGCAGCTCTTGCTGGTGAAAAACAGTAGTCTGTACCAGTAGTGGTACTACTGGTAGTCATTCAGCAATGTTTGGTATTTGGTATCTTCACTATTCTCATAATATCATTAAACTGCATGCTTCTGAAGACAATCATATCAATAAATTTAACCACAACAAAGGTAATAATTGTTCTCTGTCAGCACATGCGAGAGAGAGCATCATAACTAAACAGACAGAAGCTGTTTATCTGCCCAAAGTAGCACCTTCCTGACAGTATTCAAAGTCATCCAGGTGCCCAACGTAGGTGTGACTGTGGCTAGTTTATGATGTGCTGGTGCAGACTAGCAAGTGAAGGGAGCTTCCTGGTCCTTCTTCCTTCTCCTTTAAGCTGTTCATTGAAAATTGAAAATACAGTGAACTCTTTGGCTTTGATTCACTAGCAATTTCATCTCTGACAGGGTAGATTTATTCCTCTTGTCCAGCTTATTTCCACTCTGTGTTGTAACTGCTCTAAGACTTAATGCTTCTATTAAGTTAGCTTAATATTAAGCTTACTGCTGGGAGAGTCCTTCACTTTCCCACTGAGTGTTTTTGTTCCCTTTGTGGGAGATTAGAGAATGCGTGTGGCTGACACACTACCACTGACCTTCTTCTGTTCTCCTCTAGCCACATGCAATAAAGATTTGTAATCCTTTCTTCTCTTCCTGCAGTACAAAGTCCCACACCGCCACACTTCCCACTAGTGTCACAGCTAGGGGCCAGGCCTAATTTGTGCTATCACTGTCTTTGCTTGCAAAGGTATGAGTGAATGGCAAAATTTGCACGACAAAATTCCTGACATGCAAAGTACATTTTAGCAACCAAAGCAACTTGTACTACATGAGTGATGATAAGGAAGCCAGAAAACAGCAGCAGTGAGTTAGTTTCCGTATGAAGGCAGGAGAGAAAAACACCCCCACAAACAAAAGAATTATAGTGGGGACACTGCAGTAGGAATTTCTCTACTCCTACTCTCGGAGAGAATGACTCAGGCCCACTATGTTTTCCAGGGTGCCAAATTACTAGGTCTGAACTTCATGGTGTGAGTTGGCAGCAAAGGGAAAACCCACAGCTGAAGCACTGGGGTTTGGTGGTGTTCTTACAAAGAAGTTCCCCTAAGTTACTAGTAATAAATCCACGCAGTTCTGGAGTGTGCCAGAACCTCTTACCGAGACTTGGATCTCCAACCATGTTGGTGTTTCTTTTCTACAGACTTAAATGTTGTTTTTTTTTTTGATTCTCTTTATTGTGCTATGCAGAGGCTTCTGCAGTTAAGCAGTTATTTCAAAATAATTACAAATGAACCTTGTGCCTTTGCTTTAATGGCTCAACATTTCTCTGTAAGATTTGCAAATGATGACCTTCTGAAATGCTTTGTTGAAACTGTAGGTATTCCTGCAGTCACCTTTCTCTTTTTCTCTTACAAAAAGGGCAGTAAAGAGGACAGAAATCAGGCTAAGCATCCAGCAGTATTTGTTTCTCCTGCAACTGTTTTTTTACTACTTACTTTTGGATTATACAAAGCGTACTGAGAGGAAAAAGGTCTTTTTTATTTAGTTAGTGGTGGGTTTGTTTGTTTGTTTTTGTGGGTGGTTCTTGTTTTGGTGGGTTTTTTTTGTTTGTTTGTTTTTTACCTTTTCACTGCCTTAGAATAATTGAGGAGAATTGACACATAGTTTGAGAAGGATCTAGGTAGTCTCAGAGCAGACAGAAATGCAAAATACTTTGGCCTCAGTGCCTAGCACAGGTAACTTGAACAGACATAGGGATATCATAAAGCCATTTTTACAACTTTTTAATTTGTTATTCAGCAAGCATGTTTGTATTGTCTTATCCTCATCTGTAAAGAATTATATGTGATTAATACCTTATCTGTGTTGCCTCCTGTATGGGAAATTCTGCACAAAATGTTTTGAAACAGTTTTTTACAGTAACTATATATACATAGCAAAGACAAGAGCAAAGTCCTGTGAAGTAGAGAAGGTGGTGGTGTTCAGGGAAAAACCTCTGCAGACTGAGACTATCCTATAATAAAGCTGTCTCCTGCACAGATTAGCTGCACATGGCAATAAGAAGTGGGGCAACATTTGTAGAAGCAATGCCTGCATACCTGAGATCTGAACCAGAAGGAGCAAACTTCAAACTAAGTGTGAATGGAAACATGGAACTTACCACTTGGTGTTTGTATACTGAAGGCCTGGCTGGTGGTTGGTTACTCTGCTGCTGATCTCTGGGAGCAAAGAGCTGCTTTTTTGTATTAGCCTCTTGGATGTTATTTTAGAAGGTGGTATTTTAGGAGATCCCACTGTCTGTGGGATTTTTTCACACCACACAGCAGTAGGAATGAGGTACACCTTGCAGGCATCTGCAAAGATCTCATGGAAGGAGTGCCTCAATCTAGAGCACAGTTTCCCAAGTTGAAGTTTTCACTGAAAAGAAGAGGCAAATGAGTACAAAGCCTGTTGTGTTTATGAGGAATTTAAAAAGTGGTGAGCACGGGGATGTTTTAAAACAAACATTCCAGGACAAAGATAGAAGTAGGCAAAGAGGATAATAAAAAAGGAGAAAATTCTGAGAAAACATCAGGCTTAGTCAAGCCTGGCTTTTCACCATCAGTTATAGCTAATGAATGGCTCTTTATTCCCTCTACTTACACCTTATTTTAAAATACTTCTCATAGCACAGATTTAGGTTGCTTTGTGGTCAAAGCACATGCCCCACATAGGCTCATATCTAGTATGGACCAATAGCTATCATTGGAGAAGCTTGGCAGATTATGCCACACTCTTCAGAGGATAGGTAGATTTTTGCTAGACTGTCACTGAGTTGTGTGTTTCCATTATAAAGCAGTTCATCTGTTCTTTCCATTATTTGAACTTACACAGCGGTCTCATCAAACTGTGAAAAATAGGTTTTTGTCAGCTGTGGTCCTGTTCCTTTGAACGTGTGGCTTAGCAAAGCAATCTGCCCACTTATTCATAATGCAGCATTTTTCTCATTAATGTCAAGAGTTGCTTAACTCAAAGGCAGGCCTGCTGCTATGCTCTGGACAACACTTGAGTTTGCAGCACATGGATCTGAGATCAAAGTTATTGTGGAGTGGTAGTGCATATTGCTCATCCTTGTGTTTCAGTTCAGCATAGCAAATAGAATTTTGCTGTTAGAGATTCATTGTGTAAGAAGGTCTAGATCAATTTCTACTTGTACTACAGGTACCAGTGTGAACCTAGTAAAGTCACTTAGGGTGAATGGGCTCCTGCAACTGAAGACAATGACAGCTACCGCCCAGTAATCTTTTGAACACCATTATGAATTAGGAATCTGTGGTCACATTTGATAGATGCTGAGGCCTAAAG